ATTCTCTACTAGATTTTGTGAGAAAGCAAAATCACAAGTGTTTCCTTTTCGTCTCTCAGACGACCCAGTTTTTTTTAAGGTAACTGTCATTCTGCGTCGATCCACAAATCCCCGAGTCGGATTTTGCTGCATCCGTAACGTCAATACCGGGACTACTAACAGTGTTTTCAAACTTCAGCCGTTTAGGTGGATGTGATGCGGCCGTGCCGGCATCTGCCGTCATTTTCTTTTTAAATGCACTTTTAGTTTCTGGCGTTTGCATGTTAATGATCTTATCTATCACCATTCGTTTGTACACCTGTGGCATTTCCATGGAATTTACCTCACTTGGTAATAAATATCGCAAGGTATTAAGATTGCTGACATCACATTCCTTGAATTCTGACGCATATTTCGCCAACCCTGGGTCAATCTGACGTAGAAAATTTTGCGTACTGTTGCCGTCGTCGGACATTTTTCCAGCGATTACTTCGTAATTGTTATGTAACTGATAGTGTACATTAACTCCGCCTACCGGTACAAATTGGGTGTCAGATCAACTATTCAGGTTGTCTAAACTCCGCCCCCGACCAATCACAGAGGTCGTTGTATACTTGACTCGATTATTTGAATACTTCAATACAATAGTATCAGTACTTTGTTCAATACTATAGTAAGTGTGTCGTTCACACCTTCCCTTCATCGGTAGTAATTTGTATGTCTCATGTAATTCTGTCATCAAAAGCGAACATCTGAAACTTGCCTTATCTCCCTTACTGCTACACAAAACCATGGAGAGTTGCCCCACCTTACTCGACGTTACGATTATATATACAAGTGCGAAGTCTTCTGTATAATAGTTAACAGAAGTCAATTCTAGTAAGGATTTTTGACAACCTGGTGTCGTGGTCCTGTAATCACAAACTAGAAATAATTTCATCCACTGTTCAGACGGACGGACGTCATTTGGAGCCATAAACTCAGTATTTACGAATTATTATGAATAACGATAAATATGTATCAGATATGTAATCTGATACTTAAAAAAGCAAAAACTTACTTAATAGATGCATATTTTGAGTATTTTATCAAAAACACTAGATTTTGCTGACCATATGTTTTATCTGCTTATGTCAAGTCAAGTTGTCAGGTATTCGTGAAACAACGCTGATCCTGTGCTAAATGAAAATCTGCAAGACATCTTATTTGCTTAATGAGATACCTTACACCATGTTTGATATATCTTAATTACTTTATGAGAAATCTTATATAATAAACATAATAAATATATATATCTCATGAAATAATATGAGACATGTTATAAAGAAAATTAAACGAGTTTATATACATATGTGCTTGATATGATATCCTATATATTTTATGAAATATCTTATATAATTCATAAAAATACTGGATCAACATTGCTTTATGAATAAATGACAACTTGGCTTGTCCTAGGTACTCCGTCATTTTCGCGAGTTTGCCATATTTGATAAGAATATAATATCAGTATTCGTGTGTCGTGAGAAACTCAAAAGATACCATATCAGTCTGCTGTCCAGTGACGTTAATTGCACCTGTTTCCACTACGCCAAGTTACTTTATTATAAAGAGACCTTACCAAACACGTACACGTCAAAGCTCGCTGTACAATGTATGACTCCGCTATGTCACAGGCCATCCTCTCCGTCTTTTTGTCACTTGCAGCAGGTAAATTTTGTAGAAATATATATAAAACTTTAGAATAGCTACCGATAAACATACATCATATTGATACTTACCAAATGCTACCCACAATGTGATGTGTAATCAATAATACATACAAAAATCCATTATGAAAATGGGTATCCTAAATTAATATTCATACTAGTTGATGCCATTTCGTTTGTGTATCATTCAATATCACGCCAAATAATATATGGTTTTTGTTTCTATTTTAGGGAATTTGGTGACTGAATCTAGACCGAATTATATGTCAGCTGGACGCTTTCTTCATGCCAATATTGGACCATCGGCTGCACATCTAGATGAACCTTATCAAAACATGTTTCAGAAGTCAAGTTTTCCATCCAGTCCTTTTTCACACGAAGGAATTGAATCATCCGGTATTGCTGGCATATCGCTTGCTTCGCAATTAGTGCATGACAGCTATATGAAACCCGGCAAAGTAACGTATGGTCAAGGATCCCCTGTCATGGCTTCCAAGCCTGGACAGATCAAATGGACCCTTACTAAGAACAGCGAACCTATGTTGGGAATGCTTAAACATCTTCTGAATGGTAACTTTCACATAGTGGCTGACGCTGTCCACGTGGATGCTATACCGCTTCATGAACGACCTATGCAGTCGTATATTGAAGGTATGATTATAGAACCCAGCAATCCCATTGCTCATGCACATAATGACATGGAACCAGTTCTACCGATGTATTTCGGACCACCGGATTCAGGCAGACCACACCAAATTATTCCCCAGACAAATGTCCACCCGAACAATGTTGTGCAACCAGTCCCTCTCGAACTTCTTCTCAAAGAATTCAATGACATGAATGGGAATGGTAAATTAAAGCCAAACGAGCACGTGGTTACATTTGCAAAGCTATATCAAAATTATATGAGACTACTCGAAAAGCAAAAGACAACATCATCTACTATGTTATCAACTGACCTTCCCACTACGTCAGCCAATTCAACAACGCTCCCAACCACCTCGGAAACCAAGATATCAGCTGCAGTTATCATAACACCTACTTCATCCATGATTTATTCAACAAAAAAGAAAGAAGACGCTAACCTTAACAAGATACCAAACGGTAAATCTTCTGATGATAAGCAAGTCATGAGGCTTCCAGGTATGGGACCAGAAATGCCCACACAGTAACCGCACTATTAGAAATCTACGACAGAAGAAAAAAAGATTATCTTATTAAAATGTATATGCTTTTGTTTCTTAGTTAACTTTTAAGTATTTTTATTCATATTTATGTCATATGTTAAAGTAAATATAAGCAACGGAATTTGAGCCGAATCTTCGTATCGACAGAAAATTTGGATCAAATTATTTAAGCACGGATTAAAGGTCAAATGAACTAGCTTTTGAAAAACAAATCTCCGTTTAACTCTTATACACAAATACTAACGCCACCTCACAGAAACCCCTCTTTTACGTACGGACACGCCCTCTCTTACACACCCGCCCTCTACTCACCAAGCGTCACTGTGAGAGAAAGCAAGGTATGCAATATGCCAATTCATAATTACCATTTATTCTAGCATCTTTTATCATTGCTTATGAGATATCCCATTTTGCCACATTTGATGAGGGTTTTCTTTTCTCAATTTATCATATTGCATAGTTTTTTCACCATTCATTAATTTAATTTCAAAGCGATATCTCTATAAATTTCATTTATCATTCGGTTCCTGGTTGTCTGATCAATGATATCGAGAGCTCAGCTTCTGTTCTGATCCTTTCAACCATTATTAATTACAATGTCATTGATCCTATATATCTTGTGAGTTTTGGATACTGTTTTTCATTTGTAGAAATAAGCATCGGTTTTGTTCAAACTTTGAACTCTTTCGTTAAAAACGTAAACAGCCATGTCGATACTAAAAATGCAAACCAAAATAATTGATATCATTGGGATCAAGAGGAAAATGTTGCCTTTCCTAAGATCTTCTATTAAATGCCATTATCTATTCCTCAGACCAAGAACTGCATCTAGAACCCCTGCAGTTTCAGTTGATAGTATTTATTTTGGTCAAATGAACTATTGCTGCCTTCGCCAAAACTCTCTTTAGAAATTTCATCAGCAAAAAAGAAACTCACCCTCGGTTGAACATTGCGGTAAAAAAGCAGAAAGAAAAAAGAAAGATAAAAAACCCAGGGATCGCTTGTAAACGACAAAGATCCTTTGTTCTATTATTTACCTTATCACTGTTGATTCCAAGCGTTCCAACCTTCTGTCTTTGATATCGTTCTGCTTATCCTAACAGTCATCGGTCGCTCCTGGAATACATACCTCATTAGGTCAACAAGTGTTTGAATAAACTTTGGTATTACCAAAGATTTATTATTGTTAGCATTGATTTGATTTCAACGCATTATCATTCATTAATATATCGGTTTTTTCTTCGATTTCAAAAATAATTCTTCAATCAATACACGTTTATTAACCGTCAACATCAGCTATATTAACTATATAGTTGATACTTTGGACATCTACAATTATTATTAAGGTTTTTAGATTTGACAATTAGTTATAACATTGTAAACAGCTGTAAAAATCTCTTTTTTTTCTATACTTTTTTCCACCCTGTACACCACCATACACCATTCTAAAATGAATTAATAAAATTTACATCCAAATCAAAGAAGAAATATACAGAGGACGAACTCGTCCGGTTTAGTGGCAAGATCTTCCAACTGACTATTGGCATACCGATGGGAACCAACTGTCCACCTATGTTGGCTGACTTGTTTTTGTTTTCATACGAAGCTGAATTTATTGAAGAGCTTATCAAAACAGGTTACATAGACCTTACCAGGTCTTTAAAATAAAAAGAAATTTATTGACTACGTTTATCGTATATATCCCCCAGAACTTAAATCATAGATCAGAAACAAAGATACGACAGACTCTTCTACATCAGCTACAACCAAACAAATACGGACAGCTTTCCATCAAGCTGTATAATAAACATGATGATTTCAACTTGCCTATGGTGAATTTTCTATTTCTAGATAGCAATTCCTTGCATCCCTTGCATCTCCAACCTGTGGTATTTACATGCCACAGTTTATTCGATATTCAAGGGTCTGTTCCCATTATCAACCGAGTGACAAACTCGCAAACAAGGGTTCAAAATGCAGGTTGATGAAAATTATGGGTTTTTCTTGTCGCACTAGTTAGCTCATTGAGAAATATTCTATTTCATTGAGCGACATGAAGCTATTCTCCTTTTCAGGAAACTGCGTGTAAATCTTTCTTTTGTTCATATTTTGCCTAGTTTTATGGAATTATTGAGTTTGAATTATGATGACATTGCCATGTTGATATTTTCTTGGTGGATTTTTTTTATTCCAACACACCCTCAAACTCGAAATATGACGCAACTTATTTTCTCTGATAAGAAGCAAATTAAGCAAATACAGACTTATTCTTAGTTCTTAATTCGGTTGAGGCTTACGATCCGCTAAGACTTTTTCTCAGTATGATATAATATTGCACAGATTAGGCACACATACCTAACTCCATAGATCCGATAAGTTCCCATATAGACCACTGATGGATTCACTAGGGTCCTGTGTAATAAACTAAAAAGATACTACAGAGAATTACTAAAGGAAACAAAAGACCCCGCTATGTGGCTGTAAATCCCCCACCCTCCCTTACAGACACACCCAAGACTGACAGATTACTGGCAACTGGCAAGAACTTAAATACACTCTGCCACAAAAGTCAAGAAAGACTGTTACGAAAAAAATAACGTAATACCAAATACATTCAACAAATTTTGTTAGTTATGATAAAAATGACATTGACCTTAGAACGTAGGCTATTAAAAGCAATTTCCCAAGCAAGTAGTTTTGGTAAGGAAGCATTATATTAAGTTTGATTTAGTTTGGGCAAAGCAAACTCAAGTTATCTTACGGAAAACTGATTTTAACTTATAGTTTTTTACTTTTAGACCTGAATGACAATCTCAAACAGGCACTTTTGGTGAAGAGGCATTGCATCATGTTTGAGTTAGATTGGCTACAGCAGACTCGAGTTATTTAACTCAATGGATTTTCCATTATAGCAATAATAACCTCAACATGGGACTTCGGGGTCTGAAAAAGAATGTCTAGCAGGCACCACTTTCGGTAAGAACGTTCGATAGGCCAAGTTATGTCACGGAAACCAATTTTCTATCTAAAGTAACAGTAATTTTGACCCGGATACCTGAAATGCAATCCAAACTCATTTTAGTAAGGAAGCATTGCATAAGGTTTGATTGGCTTAAGCAAACATGAGTTTTTCTATTTATAGTAACAGTGACCTTGAATTTTTGCCCTTCGAAGCTTAAAAACAATCCGGAAGTATTGTAGGGGGTTTGAGCTTGATTGGCCAAAGCAAATTTGAGATATCGCAGGACAACTGATTTTTTCTATTCATCGTAACGGTGACCTTCAAAACTGTAAAGCAATCCTAAGCAAACACTTTCAGTAAGGAAGTACCGTATGAAGTTTGGGATTTGTCAAAGCATCTTCACGAGCGTCCCAGGACTGGCATTACCTCAAAAGACTACAGAAAAAGCAGATAAACTTCTGTGTAGACAGGCAAGGCGAGTTCAATTCATCACTGCCAACAGGACATCGGAACGTCAATGTTCTCAATAGCGGCGTAACGTCAACAGACATTCGAATAATAGTAGCTCTAATGATACAGCACTTCTGACTTTGTAAATATCATTTTTTGTTGACTGTATAGTCTCGCGAGATGTGTAAAATAACATTTCTTTATATTTTCTTAATTACAGCAAACAAAATTAATCCCAATCTACGATATGATTGGTCCGTAACTTATGGTCAAGCATATATAAGGAGTATTGTACCTTGAGAGATGTAAGTGATTAGATTTATCATCTCCCTATCATTTGTCTGAGACTATAATCATGACGACTTCCTACATACACGATGTTATAACAGATATACAGCATATCTAATGCGTGTTTAAGTTGATGATAAAGTCACACAGCTGCTTTCCCAGAGTAATGATGTGAAGAGGGATGGCAGGACACGGAGATAAACCATGACGAACTTCCCGATAAGGTTAACTGGACACATTGCTGGATGAAACTTAATTATTTTTTCTTAGTTTCTAAGCAGGAGTAAAACATTTACTTGAACTTTCATATTGATAAATTGCCGAAGGAAATATGAGAATGGAAAATACGGTGACTTTAGTTATCGTTCTGATGGTAATGATGTGGATTTCCGGTAAGTAAACTTTACTTAAATCATGGAAAACATAATATAGTATTCTATTTAGATAGATATCTAGATTGTACAATATTGCAGTAACATTGCATTTGTATGCATAGATGTAACGTATCATGTGATGTTTACAGGAAAAGAAGCAGGATAAACCAATGAATAAGACATTTCTCTGCAGTAACAATCGGTTACCATCAACTTTGTCATGATTATTCTACTTCACGATTACTTAAGCATATTTCATCAAATCATTACCGTGTTTTTTGGACTTGAAGTGATATATAGTTTTCTAAAAAATTGTGGAAATAAATCATAAACAGAATATTGTTTGCTCGATAATTTATATATAGAAATTAGAATTTTGAACATTTGAATTACGTACAAACTACTGGTTGCTTTTACCATTTTAACATATTTTCAATGTTAAATCGATAATTAATCCACATGAAACGTCTCTTTTCCTTTCTATTCATATGACAGCTGAAAATGTAGGTTTCAAACTAAAGTTAATAACCAAAACCAAAAACTTCCTCGCACATAATTTACATACGAAGGACTGTGTACGACAATTAATCTTATATGATTTGTTACCTACTCGCTCTTTATTCATTATCAAGATGAAAATTAGCACATGTACAATGAGTATATTCTTAATGCCCACAGATAGCAGTTCCATCCCGCTGCCAGGTCTTGATCTAAGCAAAAGTATTGATGACCCGAAACCTTTCCATCTACCGCCATACCTCAATCCTGTAAACAAGGGCAGCGTCGGGATGACAGCACAACCCAGTACTCGCTTGCCGCCCACACAACAACCCGACTACTATAGCAACAATGTCGGAAAATATCCTTACACACTCTCTAACTATATCATCAAAAGTCTCGCGCTCATGGAC